TAATCCTAGCACTCTGGGAGGCCGAGGCGGGCGGATTGTTTGAGCTCAGGAGTTCGAGACCAGCCTGGGCAAGAGCGAGACCCCGTCGCTACTAAAAATAGAAAGAAATTAATCGGACAACTAAAAATATATAGAAAAAATTAGCCGGGCATGGTGGCGCATGCCTGTAGTCCCAGCTACTCGGGAGGCTGAGGCAGGAGGATCGCTTGAGCCCAGGAGTTTGAGGTTGCTGTGAGCTAGGCTGATGCCACCTCACTCTAGCCCGGGCAACAGAGTGAGACTCTGTCTCAAAAAAAAAAAAAAAATGAATGGAATCCTGTGGACATGGGTAATTTTCTATAAAGTCCTCAAAGCTTTAATAGGCTTTTCAAAAGGGTCTATTACTCATAAAAGGCCAAAACCCTGAATTACCTCATCCTTATTTTTCTTTTGGTTATAGAGAGCTAGCCCTAAATTTTTTAGTCATTAGTTTTTAGGGACCATTTCATGTGTTTATTATATTCAGCCATTTATTCTGTTCTTCAAAACACATGGTGAACAGACTACAAGGAGACTTCTTGTCATTGACTGGCTATTATCCTCTCTGAGTAAAATTAGACAAATGAACTAGTTCATCTCCAAGGTCCTTTACAGCTTCCAAATGTTGTGATTCTTTGTTAGTCCTACTATATGGAAAAAGCAATTTTCTCACAGTAAAATTTTGCTGAATTGAGTTATGAGGTATCATTAAAAGTCCAAGAACCAAATAGAAAAGTTGCGGGTTACTGAGAGTGCCACCAATTACTTAGTAAATGTTCATGATTTCAAGTAGTTCCTTTATCAAATTCGAATGTGTTAATTTCAGATATATGACTTAGAAAAATGATTTTTGGTATCTTTAAAAGTGACTAATTGTACTATGTTACATATATTAAAAAAAAAATTTTTTTTTTTTTTCAATTCTTCAATAGGGAAGTTTGGTTGGCTTAGTGGATTATCCAGATGATGAGGAGGAAGATGAAGAAGAAGAAACATCCCCCAGAAAAAGACCTCGTCTTGGCTCATAAAATATTTATTGGGGGACCCTCAACATGTGGTCTTACTAAAATGCTGCAACTGTTCAATGAGCTGAAAATCTGAATCAGAACGCTTTCTCACTTGAATTTATAAATATACAAGGAGTAGCAAAAGACACTCAGTATATCAGCTAGGAGAGTTTAGTTCTGTAAAAAACCAGGCTTCCCAGGAACTTGATTGCTTGCTAGTAATTAAGGGGTTTGCCTTTCAGGCTGTCCAAAAAAAAAAGTTAGTAACCAGAACCTGGGAGAGAGCTTCTCAGCAAGGAAAGTCTCAGGTCAGGTTTTGGGACGGTTTGGGGGAGGGGAAAGGTTGATAAAATAATGTTAATGCAGGGTTGTTCCATGGGGGTATCCAATCTAGAAACAATTTTAAAACTTCAGTTGCAAACCCAATAACATTACTTGTTATAATGGTGCTGGCCATGTTGTTGTTTTAATCAGTTGCCTCTTTTTAAAAGAAATTTTTATGGAAAACAAATTCAGCTATCATAAAAAATAAAGTTAAACTGTTGGGACCATTTCTTTAAAGATTTAACAGAAATTCTGCCTTTTAGGTAGTTGGAAGGAAGTACACCCTGTATTACAGCACATGTTGAGTTTTCGACACCAGGAATTTTCCGTATGTATTTTGATGAGAACAAGCTGGATTCAAAATGGACAGTTTTGTTAATATAATGTAAAATTCAGCACTTTTAGAGATAACAGAGGCCAAGAATCAGTACAGTAGTATTCCAAAATGATTTTCTCTAGAAACTTGGGAGTGGATAGAACAAAATGCTTTCAGCCACCTACCAATACAATCTTTTGTGGAAGATACTTTGAAGTCACTTTCTGCTTTGTTAGTAAAGTTGTCTCTCTCTCCAGAGCTGCAGGCAAGTTTTAAAGTGTAATTTATAAAGACTAATAAAGAAGTGCTGAATTAAGTGGCATTTAATATCTAGAAGCCATTTTGATCCAAGAAGTTACTTAAGTAATAACTTAAGTCAAAGTCAGCATGCAGTACGTGAAGCTTTTCCATAAACAAGGGTGTAATATATATGAAAGCTGCTTTTTAAAAAAGAGTAAAAGCACATTCCATGTACGTAACTGAACTTAAAAAAATTGAGGCAGTTAAAAGGTTTTATTTTTAGAACAGCAAGTTAACTGTAAATATTTTAATGTTAGTTTGCTCATCTATGATCTGAGATCATGCTGAAGTGAGAAAAATGTCCCCAAACAACAATTTAATCGATTGGGAAAAAAAAAATGAGTAATTCCAGCTACAATCTTTAGATCACCCTTGTAATGTGTTATGGGTCCATTTTTCCTGGAGTAGCTTAAACTGAAGCAGTTTCCCTGTTTTGGAGATTTTGTAGTTAATTTTAATTTTGGCTATTGTTTGGAAAAGATGGGCTGTCTGTGTAGATATGAAGTATAGTTTTTCCATAAAACAGATGTTTATTTTGTATTAAAAATACCACTGTACTTGTTTTACACCATTTGTATACATGTGGTGATATTAATGCTGAACTGTAAAATTCAGGAATTAAAATGTGACCCTGTAATTCCATGATTGATTGTTGTGTTTGGTTTGTTGTAAATATAAATTAACTACATTTTGAGATATGTCAGTTTTACAGTATTTTATAAAAGCCAATAAAATGATCCATAGATGTTTTTTATAAACCACTAGTTCACACACCAATTGGAATGAAAGAATTCCAAACAAATGAAGGTCAACTGCACTTTAAATATCACTGACTACTTACAGAAGGTGAGCCTTGGGCAAATCTCAGCACCAAAGGATCACAGCATGGAGCTTTTCTCACCTCTTTGATTAAAGGTATACATATAATAAAAAAGACCTTCCACCTTATAAGACCTTCCACCTCAGGATATTTTAAACTAAGATCAGTAAAGTTACCATATGAATACACTTACTTGCAAGCAAGTTTTATCAAGGTCCTTCTCTTTTAGCTCTTATTAAATTTCTTATAATCTAAGAAGCCTAGGCATAAAACATTTCCCTATTTACTCTTGACTCTTGTTAAATAACTTCCAGTTCCAGTAGAAATATTTCCTTTGTGTCTTATGAAGACTTCCTTTAATTTTCCTTTCTGAAAAACTGCCATAAATCTTAAACTTTGTTTTTTTGAGACAGGATCTCTGTCACCCAGGCTAGAGTGCAGTGGCAGCATAACTCACTCAGCCTCAAAATCCTGGACTTGAGTGATCCTCCTGCCTCAGCCACCCGAATAGCTACTGTGCCCACCTTTTTCTATTTTTTGTAGAGAGGGGGTCTCGCTCTTGCTCAGACTAGTCTGGAACTCCTGGCCTCAAGCAATCTTTCCTCCTTGGCCTCCCAAACCCAAAGTGCCAGGATTACAGGCGTGAGCCACTGTGCCCAGCCAGGAAACTTTTCTTAAAGCAGAAATGTGAATGTTTTCTTGAAATACAGGTAACGGTTTTCCTGGTACATAAGCTTACCCACAACAATATGAGAACGAGACTTTAAATATTCCTTGAAAAAATAACTGTGAAGATTCCATGTTAGCTACTGTCTTAAATGACTACCCTCAGGCAGATCTCGGTTTTTATATCTTTATCTTCACTCAGTGAAGCAAGCCAGAGCCCACATTTGTATGCCTTAGGTCCTCTTAAAATGGTATCTGTGAACATGTATCCAATATAAAGTCTATTTTTTAATAAAAAGTTACATGAAACAGATTTCTGTGTTTTAATCACTAACTTTTCCTCTTACCCATTTATTGATGAAAATGTACATGCAGAACACTGGTTTTTCTGCAAGTTAAAGGTTGGAACTATAACTGAAATGAGCAAATTTAAAAAAAATAATTTTGGTATCCCTTTTTAAAAGTATATAATTTTAGCTTTAAGGAGATAAAATGGAATTATAAATTAAACCTCAGTCATGTTATAACTAGAATAGGGTGGATGTGGGATGTCAAAACACTGGACGTTCCTGAAAGAAAGGTCTCACTCCTACTATTCTGGTTTCTCTCTAAACAAACAGACGATAGAAAACTATTCCAGGGTCACACAAAAGACCTACACCCAGTGGTAGCACTGCCTTCAACAGGCTGGATCAACTGTTCCCTTTATTTTAACAATAGCTTTTCTAGAAACAGTGGGTAGTTGAGTATTTTTAACATCCCCCACATCTATTTTCTAAGTCCTGTTTGCTCCTGCCTCAAATATAAGTCTAAAACGGTAAATGTAAAATCCATCTTACACACTGCCTGAGATATCTACTCCTGATTGGATTGCTTCAGACCTGGTACAACCACAACTGCCCACACACTAGTCTCCATACAGCAATAAAAATGAAAATTTTGATCATATACCTTACCTGTTTTAAAACTTTCCAGTGACTTGCCACTGCCAGTACTATAAAATTTAAAATCCTCGTGTTCCCTACAAGGTTTTGTACAATCAGTACCCCACCTATCCCCAATTTCACATGCTAGCTCTCTCCACTCATTCTACCTATTCTCGAGTTCCTCAGTATGTACTTTATTCTCTCCTGCTGCAGAACCTAAATTGTTCCCTTTCCTCTTCTCCCTGCAATTATCCTTCCATTCAGCTTGAATATCACTTCCTCCAGGAGGCTCAGCCAGCCCTGATCACAGCACTCTGCACTTTTCCTTTCTAACACTGCTCTTTGGGCCTTGTTCACTAGCTCCATGAAGGCAGTGACCCTGCCTCTCCAGTTGACTGCTGTATCCTTAGTGCTTAGCATGATGCCTGTCACAAACAGTAGGTAAACAAGTTTGAATGAATGAACGTACTATCAACCAGTTTCTATACCCTCTCTCCAGAAATTTGTATTAAACTGATAAGTAGCTGTCTTCGCTACCACCCTTTACATCAAATGTTTAAAATAATGAGTTTGTATTTGCATTTACAAAAGCAAGTATTTGTTTGAAACTAAAAGGTTCCATATAAGGGTTAAATAATTTATTTTTAAGAAAATTTGAATTTCTGTTTTGCTAAATTTTTTTTAAATTATTACTTATTAATAACTTCTTCTTTAAGTTTCTCTGCAAGCAATCTCCTCTTTAGTAATGTTTGTTTCTCCTCTGCTGTCATTTCTGGTTTCTCTGTCATTTCCTTTGAAAAGAAAAAAAGAAAAAAATTGGCTACAGCATAAAATGGGTTCATTTGTATAAAATTCCCACCATATTGCCGCAAATGAACAAAGATTCAGGGCATTAAGGGGAAGCTAAACACAGACTAGGTTTCCTAAATCTCTTCTTTGTAAAATCAGACTTCTTGGTGAAGCCTCTTGGAGATGGTGACTGGGGTACTGATGCTGCTTTACGACGAAACATTTTGAACATTTCAGAGGCTCATAAAAGACCACTGACCCTTATGCACTTGGAGGAGGGCAAGTGAAGAAACACCTTAAGAAAAAAATGTATAATGAAACTGCTATTATTTCTACCTCACAAAATCCTCATCAAAACTCTCTCACTTCCTAGAAAGCACTCAGCAGCTATTGCACTAGCAGGGTGGTTACTATGAATGGATCTACAAGCAAAATTCCTCAGAAGCTTTCCTGTACATATTCTGATTTTGAGAATTGCACCTTGAGATTTGCAGATTTTGACATACTAAGGCTAGCCATACCTCTGCCTCCCCAGGTTTTCCTTTCTGCTCCACGTTTTGTTTCTGCTTAGTCCTCATATCCTTTCTCATGGACATCAACTTATCTCTCTTCTGCTTGAGATAGTGTTCTCGTTGCCGAAGCTCTTCCATTCCAAGTGCTGATAAATTCTGGGTCAAATAAGAGAAAGAACTATCTAAATTCAAGTCCACATAATAAGTGGCACAGATACCCACTGACTGATTCAATTAGAAATTTAAATTCAAGATCATAACAAAAGCCAGCTATATGGTTGTTTACATTGTTTATTCCTAGTACCTTGCCACTTTGCTCATACTTCTTAAAAAGTGATGTCTTTTACTTACTGCTATTGGTCCTTCAATGCTTGCATGTTCTAAGACAGGAATCTTCAGGCCTTTTTGTGGGACGGAGGAAGTTTCAGGCAATAATTCCTCCTTTCTTGCCAAGGGTTGTACTGACTGATTGGCAAAATGCACTTTAACTTCTGGCAGTAATTAGACAATGAGACCAATTAGAATATTACAAGAAATACTAAGTATCAGGCTAGGTTCACCAAAATGACCTAATGCTAATAATATTTGTTTTTCCTCATATTCATTCAATCGGTATATATTCAGTGCCTACATTGTTCCAGGCAGTGGATAAGAATAATAAACATGGTCTCTGTCCTTAAGGACCTTGAACTACAGTTTCTCATCTTATGAATAATGACATTTCAACAAGTACCAAGCTCCTGTTTGTACAGTACTATAGCTACAAAAAGATACAATCCTTGTCTAAAGATTAGAACTACACTATAATGTAATCAAGGATGCTACATAAGCCAAATGAACACTACACTAAACCTTTTACTAATAGTGTAATCGGTTTCCAAACTTTTGCTTGCAGGTAGAAACTGTAAATCACCATATATTTTCAGAACAATTAATGTAATGCTACAATTTTTTGTATTGCAAGTACCAGTAATACTGATAATTTTTGTTTGTAATTATATGACAAGATAACTATAAACCCTCCAATGCATTAAAAAAATGTAAAGATTTCTAAAGCAAGCAGAACTTGGAAGCACGTATAAACATGAACACTTACTACTTTCCAATTATTTGGTGACTGTGCCAAGAGATAGAATTAACATTCTAATTGCTCCTCTGAGCCACTTTTTATTATAAAATTTTTTTAAATATAAAACATTTACAGTGTAAATACATGGGCTGTGAAAGAAAGCACAGTGAGACAAGCAAAGACTTACATTAAAATGATGCTAAGAACTAAAAGCATGATGGGAGATCACAGTACACATGTCTCTAAATGATTAAAAATCATGCCAGCATACAAAGTAAAACTGGAAACAGAATGTGCCTGTGCAAGAAACTTGACAACAGACCACTGCTCTAGCATGGAGTGAGTGGACTGACTGCAGTGCCAGGGAGGCTGGAGCAAGAAAAGCTCTACAGGCCCTTGGACAATAAGGGAAATCTCCATGGAAGAGATGAGCAGGAGCCAACACTCCGAACTAACCTAGGCAGGGAGCTAAAGAACTAACTTAAACAGAAATAAAGATGAGCCTAAACAAATTGGTCACAATATGCAGAGAGAGTGAAAACACTGCCATTCTTACTGATGGCGACTTTAGCAGGGGTAGGCTTAGCTCACAAATACAAAATCACAGGACTGGAGAAGGGACAGTTCAATTTATTCCTAAGGAGGGAGGAATCCATACATACAAGCATTTAAATTCAACTCTGCTACTTATTCTAGATAGTTCTTGCCTTGAGTTGGTTAATTATGAACATATTGTGTACTCTCAGACCTAGAGGGGAAAGTAATTGAAACCAAAATACTTAGCATCTCTCATTTCTGGGAAAAGAGGATCAGAAAGCCAGAAATCCTGAAGAAAGATCATCTCATCTCTGGCAACTCTTAGCATCAATCTGAGAACATAATGCTAGCCATTGCTAGCAGCAACCAGGGAAAGACATGAGCAAAGGGACAGGACAGAAGGTTTAACACCTACATGATTCCTCCAAAATTAAGTCTTCATAATCATCATTTTGTATGAAGTGATTCCCTGAAATATCAGATATGCCCATTTTTTTGAAAAAAAAAGTTATGAAAATTAAAATCATTACTTTTGAAATTACCTGCCATTCTGTGCCATTAATGTGCATGATTATATGTGGTTTGAGATCAAGTTTTCCATAGCTTCACTTAATAGATAAGGAACTAGACAAAGTAAATTTATTAAAATTACATCAGACACAAGATTTAAACAGTATATATACTTAGGTCAGTATAAAACAGAAAGTTAAATTTGGGCCAGCAAGTTAAAATAGAGCACAGACATCTAAAGCATGAGCTTCAAAGATATAATTCAAATGAGGTGATTTCTACTTACAATCTGCAGAATATGGAAAAGAAAAGAAAGAAATGGTTAGACTTCCTAGGAAGAAGCAAGGTGACTTCACAAACCTGCCTCTGGTTCCATATGCCCCCATTATTTTGTCAACTAAGAATACAGTTCCTTAAAATCAATGGGTACTCTCAACAAACTAGAAATAGAGGGGAACTTCCTCAACTTGATAAAAAATAAAAAAAACTACAACCAACACCATACTTAATGGTGATACACTAGAAGCTTTCCCACTAAGATCAAGAACAAGGCAAGAATGTCCCCTCTCACCATTCTGATTCAAATCATACTAGAAGTCCTACATAATCCAGTAAGACAAGAAAAGGAAATAAAAGGTACATTGGGAAGAAATAAAACTGTCTTTATCTGCAGAAGACATGATTATGTAGAAAATCCAAAAGAATCAACAAAAAAAGGGAACTAGTAAGTGATTATATAGCAAGGTAACAGAATACAAGGTTAATATACAAAAGTCAATCACTTTCTTTTATACCAGTAATGAACAAATGGAATTTGAAATTAAAAACACAGTATCATTAATACATTAGCATCCCAAAAATGAAACAGATATAAAATCTAACAAAACATGCACAAGATTTATATGAGGAAAACTACAAAAGTCTAATGAAAGAATCAAAGAAGAACTAAATAAATGGAGAGATATTCCATGTTTATGGATAGGAAGATTCAATAGTGTCAACATGTCAGTTTTTCCAACTTGAGCCATAGATTCAATGCAATCCCAATCAAAATTCCAGCAAGTTATTTTGTGGATATTGTCAAACTGATTCTAACATCGATACGGAGAGGCAAATGACCCAGAACAGCCAACACAATACTGAAGGAAAAGAATAAAGTAGCAAGCAGGACTGACACTACCCAACTTAAAGACTTCAAGCTACAGTAATCAAAAGAGTGTAGTATTGGCAAAAGAATGGACAAATAGATTAATGGAATAGAATAGAGAGCCCAGAAATAAAACCACATAAAAACAGTCAATTGATCTTTGGCAAAGGAGCAAAGCAATACAATGGGGAACAATTCAACTGGACATCTACGTGCAAGAAAAAAAAAAAAAAGAATGTGGACACAATTTACATCCTTCACAAAAATTAACTCAAAATAGATCAAAGACCTAAATATAAAATATAAAATTATAAAAATCCTAGAACATAGGAGAAAACCTAGATGACCTTGGGTATGGTGGTGACTTATTAGATACAACACCAAAGTCACAACCTATGAAAGAAATAATAAGCTGAACTACATTAAAATTTAAAACTTCTGCTCTTACAGAGCAATACCTTACATAAACAATATCAAGAGAAGGAAGACAAGCCACAGACTGGGAGAAAATATTTTCATAAGACAAATCTGATAAAGGACTGTTATCTAAAATATACAAAGAATATACAAAGAATTCTTTAAAACTCAACAATAAGAAAAAAAACAACTCAATTAAAATAATGGGTCAAGGACCTTCACAGACACATCATGAAAGAAGATATACAGATGACAAATAAGCATATGAAAAGCTGCTCCACAGCATATGTCATCAGGAAAACACAAATAAAACAATGAGACACCACTACACACCCATTCGAACGGCCAAAATCTGGAACACTGACAACACCAAATGCTGGCAAGGATGTGGAGTAACAGGAATTTTCATTCATGGCTGGTGGGAATGCAAAATGGTTCAGCCACTTTGAAGACAGTTTGGCAGTTTCTTACAAAACCAGACATACTCTTACCATATGATATAGCAATATCATATTTATCCAAAGGAGTTGAAAATTTATGTCCTTGATATTTACTGAAAGGAATTGAAAACTTATATCCACACAAAACTTGCACAGGGATGTTTATGGCAGCTTTATTATTATTGACAAAACTTGGAAGCAACCAAGATGTTCCTCAGCACATGAATGAATAAACAAACTGTAGCACATCCAGACAATGGAATATTATTGAGTGCTAAAAAGAAATGAGCTACCAAGCCATGACAAGACGTGGAGAAACCTTAAATGCATATTACTAAGTGAAAGAAGCCAATCTGAAAAGGCTACATACTTCATGATTCCAACTATATGACATTCTGGAAAAGGCAAAACTATTGTGACAGTAAAAAGATGAGGGGTTGCCAGGGATTAGGAGGAGGCATGGGTAACAGGCAGAGCACAGAGGATTTTTAAGGCAGTGAAACTACTCTGTATGATACTATAATCATGGAGACATGTGATTATACATTTTCCAAACCCACAGAATGTACAACACACCAAGAGTGGACCCTAATGTAATCTTTGGTGGTAACGTTGTGTCGATGTAGGTTCACCAATACAACAAACGTACCATGATAATGGGAGTGGCTATGCATGCGTCAGGGCTGAAACTATATGGGAAATCTCTGTATCTTCTGCTCTATTTCACAATGAACCTAAAACTGCTCTAAAAAAAAAAAAACTAAAGTTGCTCCCCAACTTACATAAAAAATTAATGGGTAAACATCAAACTTCTCTCAATTACAGAAATTCTTCTAAAGTGTAGAAGAAGGCAATATTTACAGTCAGAAGACCAAGGGAAATCACAATTTCACCATTTAAGAGCCCAGTGATCTTGGACAAGTTACTCAGCTTTCTTGAATTTCTTTTTTCAGAAAGATAAAAGTAAGGATTACATTTACCTCACAGGTTTTTTTTTAATTGAGAAAAAGATATTTATTCAAAACCATAGGAATCCATGATAAAATGAACTGAAATCATGACCATAATTCAATTTCTGTTTCACGAACACTTGTTTTCTTATACAGGAAATCAGAGCACATTGGAAGTGGATTTCCTACATATTGAATAAGTTCATCCACTAACATTTCCTATAAGTATTCTCATCAATTTCAGTTTCAAAGATACAATTTCTGGGGCCAGGCGCGGTGGCTTATGCCTATAATCCTAGCTCTCTGGGAGGCCGAGGCGGGCGGATTGTTCGAGCTCAGTAGTTCGAAACCAGCCTGAGGAGGAGCGAGACTCCGTCTCTACTAAAAATAGAAAGAAATTAATTGGACAACTAAAAATATATAGAAAAAAAAAAACTAGCCGGGCATGGTGGTGCATGCCTGTAGTACCAGCTACTCGGGAGGCTGAGGCAGTAGGATCGCTTGAGCCCAGGAGTTTGAGGTTGCTGTGAGCTAGGATGACACGGCACTCTAGCCCGGGCAACACAGTGAGACTCTGTCTCAAAAAAAAAAAAAAAAAAAAAAAAAAAAGATACAATTTCTGACTAAATATTTGGACAAATTGGCTACTGGCTACATCTTATTTTCTAGTTGTGCTTTAATTCGTTAGGAAAGGAATTTAATATTATCTTTCCAAGTCCAGCTTCTCATTCACAAACGCCATATAACGGTGAGCAAGGAAAAGAATATCAAACGTTATATGAACTTACCTTGTATGCTGTAGCCATGGCACAAAGGCTGGTGGCTCTATCAAGGAGTTTTGCTCACTGCTCTGGGTTCCAGCATTTACTTGGAAATTTGGAGACCACACCCTATCTTTCAGCTGAATAGCTCTTACCTGCAATTCTTTTAACTAAATTTACAAAAAATTTTAAATACCAAAGCCATTCAATACTCCCTCCCAGGGTTTTTGAAGGTTAAATATGTGTGAGAAAGTAACACACTCTACACAATGTTTACGATTCATATTACTAGAGAAAGTTCAGTGTACCTCAACCTTACCTGAGGGTGGCTGTGCAAAATGTTCATCTCCTTGGGAATTACTCAGTTTTGTAGCTTCACTATTATGCACTGTGGGCTCTTCTGTTTTAGCCTCTGATAACTTCAGGATCCCATAATACAATTTTTAAAAAACACAATTTAGATTAATTTTGACTAATTTACTACCTTAAAAAATCCAAAGACATTTTTAAAAAAATTGTCTACTGACAAGATAATGTAGAAATTCTACTTCCAAAGTTTTTAAGACGTTGCTAACATTTTTACGTCTCCTAGTTTGTGAGGTAAGGAAACATTTCATTTCAAATCATGCAGTGCTAAGGGTAACTAATATGGTTAGGGCTTTGGATTTAGCAAGAACTGAGTTCTTGCTAAAACCCAGGCTCCACCCTTACTATTCATGTGACCTTGAACAAGAAACTGATATACTCTAACAGAAATAAAACCACTGAATTATAAAGTGTTTTTCTACTTAAAATAATACATATACCACTACTACGAAATGCCTAGAGTAGTCACAAATTGCTTATTTCCATTTTTAAAACGGAACAGTATAAAGCAATCATTTAAATCTTGGAAAGAAGTAAGCTGATACTAATTCATTTTTCCTTAGAAACAGAGGGAAATTCAATCACATGTACTTATTAGGCAATTCATGGATATCTAAACCATGAGCCCCTATACGCTGGGTGATAGACACATGGGAGTTCAGTATTATTACCATCTCTACTTCTGTATGTCTGGAAATTTACACAACAAAAGATCTCAAAAGAAAAAACACAATTGTATGCCTCTAAAATATATTCAAAAAACCTCAAATAGTTTACATATAAATCAGAGAGTTAATACTAATGTCTTCTGTAGTAGTTTTATTTTATTTATTTATTTTTTTTTTTGAGACAGAGTCTCACTCTGTT